TTTACCTATACACCTCCCACATGAAGCAGAGTTGGGAGGACCTGTTCAGTTTAGGTGGATGTATCCGTTTGAACGCTTTATGAAGCATTTAAAGGGTAAGGCTAAAAACTTAGCAAAAGTTGAAGGGTCTATCGTGGCGGGAAGTTTGACAAAAGAAACTTCTCATTTCACGTCTTATTATTTTGCTCCGAAGGTTCGTACACGCAAACGGGCTCCAAGACGTTATGACGATGGGGGTGTAGGACAAAGTTATACAGTAGAAGGTGTGCCTGATATATTCTCACCAATTGGACGTCTAAGTGGGAAACTAAAAAAAACTTGTTGGTCAAACGAACAGGACCTCCACAGCACACATACATATATACTTCTGAATTGCGAGGAATTGGCACCTTACAAGAGGTACATACAAATAAGCAAGCTGATTATATTTTGATTGAATAGACGATGTCCTTAACAATGTTTTCAAATTTCAGCACTTTTGTCAGTCAAGTCCGAGAATGCATTGACGGTGTTTCAGAAGATGAAATTAACAAGCGGAAAGACCAACATTATGCAATGTGGTTAAAAGCTCAGGTCGAGCATGATGACATGACATATGCAGTATGGTTTCATGAGTTGCTCCATGGTCCTATATCGAAGATAATTACTGCAGCTATGTATTTCACACGTGGCTATGTTTTTCATACTTACAGTCATGGCACTCAACGGGAAACTACAAACTATGGAGTTTGTGTACGAGGTGAAGTGGACTTTTATGGGATCATAAAAGAGCTAATTGAAATGGAATACCCCGGATTAGTAAGAATGAAAACTGTTCTATTCAAATGTGATTGGTTTGATCCAACGGTGGGTCGTGGAGTGCGTATTAACAAATTCGGAGTGGTAGATGTAAACGCATCTCGGCGATACAATAAGTTCGAGCCTTTTATACTTGCATCTCAAGCAGAACAAGTCACCTTTGTTCCATATCCTCGAGTTCGAAGTACGGGAATTTCATGGCTGGCGGCTGTCAAAGTTGCTACAAGGGGTATAATTGATGGTGTAGATCTCCCGCCAATGCAACAAGATGATTGTGTCGACATTACAGAACCTGAGGTTGAAGAACATTTTAATTGATCTCCCGCCTCGACTTCCGGATTCCGCACGCAGGAGGATCCGAGTCAACTTCGTCAGGAGCTTGCTACGACCAACGCTGAGATCACCAGTCTACGGCATGAGCAACTGACCCAGAAGCAGGAGCTCACCGAGATCAACGGTTTTTTCGACATCATAGCAGCAGCGGTTCCGCAGTTGGCCACCGCAATCCGAGAAAGGCAACGGTGATCTCGCGGGATTATTGCGGGTACTTCCGGTGGACCATCTGACCAGCAGACGCAGGGTCAGACGCAGGGTCAGACGCAGGGTCAGACGCAGGGTTAGACGCAGGGTCAGACGCAGGGTCAGACTTCGGATCCGGTAGTGCAGACGAGAAACGACGGTCCAACAGCGATGGACGGCCATGACGGAGAGCCTCCTCGAGACGTCGATCTCAACCTCGATGATTATGAAATCACATTGTAGATTAGGTTTTCTTTTGTAAAAAACAATTTGTTTTTAATTTTGTATTTTAATTTATAAATTATTTTCGAATTTTAATTTTAAATTATAATGTTTTTTAATTTTTTTCATTTATTTGATTATTTTAAAAATTCAATAATTAAGTTTAAATCGAATTTGTTTAATTAATTTCTAAGTCGACGTAAATTCGTCGTAACTTTACGTCGACTTAACGTCAAATATTTTATGACGAATTAACGTCGAATTATTTTACGTCGAATCTACGTCGGTGTTATGAGAAAACTATTTCGTCGTACTTTCGTTGGAATATTTACGTCGTGGTTACGACGAATAATTTCCGGCGATATTACGACGATTTTCTTGTGTTGGTAATTTTACGACGATTTTACGACGATTTCTATTTTACGACAATTGTTTTACGACGATTTTCCATTCGTCGGTAATTCGACGTAAAAGGCCCATTACGTCGATTTTACGTCGATATCTGCCGACGTAAAAGGCGATCTTTCTTGTAGTGATCCCAGCTAGTGTTTGTGCGGCCTTGTGGGTTTGTTCTTCCAGAACCCAGAACTCGAACATGATTGGCCAGATCATCAAATTTTCTGTTGAATTCTTCAGAGATTGAATCAATTCTCTTGAGCAGGGTGATTTCGGTGAGAATCTGCTGATCAAGGAACTGGTTTATCATTCCTTCGAGACGTCCCAAACGTCTGCTGATCCTCAAGTTGTCCTCTTGCTGATTAGGGTTCTGCGGTGGAGGATGATAGGTGTGTGGCTAGAATTGGTTGGAGGAGGACCATAAGGATCTTCCCGGCGTCAAACAGGCTCTCTACGCCGGTAGTATGGATGATTTAGCTGGCTGTATCGATCCATGTAGCTAAGATCTCGGGCTTGATGTTCTTCTCTGCGTCTGGTGGCTTGAGGAGTGTTGTAAAAACCTCACTCATAGTAGGGATTTCGATTTATAGGGTCTGTTGCTTCTGGAATGGAAACAAAAAGAACCGAAAAATGGAAATATGCAGAAAAAGGGTTCTAAAGTCGATTTACCAACTTTTTTTAGTGTTTTGCGGAAATGAAAACGCGTGTTTTCCACGGCAACGGCGCCAAAAACTTTATGTGTTGTCATGTGAGTGTTGTCAAGTTTTACCCCAAATGAAATCAATAGCCGCAAGTGCACAGCTGATCGATTGTAGTACTTAGGGATCGAATCCACAGGAAAGGAGGATCTTTCCTGCAAAAGCCTTTGAACGAAATATAAAGTAAGGAAGTCTAGAACCAGGCGATTTTTGTGAGGGTTTTGGTGGTATCTTTAAAACGTAAAAACTAATCTTAACGAGAAAATACGGGAATTAAAATGACCTAATAACTAAACTTAATGAAATCGACTAAAACGAGAAAAACGGCTAAACCTTGTTGCTTAATCGATTGAAAGAGTAAAAATATTAGACAAAAATTTGAATGAAAATCGTTGTAAATCTATAGGAAAAAGGCGCTGGGTTTCAAGGAAGTTTTCTCAGGGGTATGAACGATTCAAAACATTGCTAGAGAGTAAATTTGATAAGATCTTAGCTTAAACTTTTTCGAACAAGAGTCACGGACGTATGAATACGCCACTGTCGTGATCATAGACAACTATCTCTCTCAACCCTGACCAGTAGGTTTCCACTCTGGTCCTGGTAGAGAAGAGATGCATTATGTTTAAGACTCGTCAGCATGCACAGATCGCCTATAAGTAGGTTTCCACTCCTATGTTTTTTTTGCTCTCCCAAACTAGATCTGACACCTGATGAACAATTTCGTGTCACCAAGCATTTGGATCAGATTGTAGTTCATGACGGTACTCTCATGCAGTAAAAATAAATTCAGAAGAAAAAGTTCTAAGATTCGGCTTCAATAGCTCATGGAATCCTCATTGAACATATATATCCGATCCAAAATCCCTTAGACCCAACAATAAAACTACTCAGACATGATGAACGAAATAAAAAACATAGTATTAAAAAGTAAATCAATAGTCGAAATTGAAAAAGAAAGAACAAGGGTTCAAGAGATAGATCTCTCTCTTGCTAAACCTAAAAACAAAAGATTAAAGTAAAATTTCTTGTAAAGTATTTCGTTTCCCTTCTTCTCCGTTTAAAAATGACTTAAATGATAAGTATTTATAGTCTCCAATGCTCTCTGGTGTCTAGGGTTCTGGAATTGAGTCTAAGAAATGGGGGCTTCAGAAATGGGACCTTTTAACTCGGAGTTGGCTGGCCGCGGTCGGGATGTGCGTGACCGCGGGGAATGGATGGTTGGCCGCGGTCGGGATGCCTAGCTCTGACTGTGGTGAAATGGCTGTTGGCCGCAGGTGGAAACGCTTACCGGCTGGTTTATGGGACATCTTGCTCTTCGCGTATCTTTTGATTGAACCGTTGGATGGCCAAGCTGTAAAGTGTGCTGGAAAGCTGATACTTCCATCTTTGAGATCTCTAATTTGAGCTGGATCAGACGGTGAGAAAGCCTTTAATCGGGGGAGAACTTCTGACGGTTAGACTCTGAGCTGAAAATCTGGTCTTCTATCCATTTTGTTAAGCTTTTTCCTAAGTTTCCTGAAAAGAGTCTGTGAACTAAAAATACTAGAAAAACGTAATAAAAGTACTTGAAAGCAATAAAAAACATAGAAAAAGTGGTCAAAATACGGTGTTATCACTGAACACCAGAACAAGGTCCAGAAGCTGTGATCCTCCAATCCTCTGCATAAACAACATCAATATGTTAGAGAGAAGAGGAAGAAGACCAAGAGAAGAGGTTCTAGTTGAGGAAATGGAACAGCAAACAAGGCAGAACATCAGGCTGAGGTTAACCAAAACCAAGCATCAAGGAATGAGCAGCAAGCTTATTTAAATCAAAACATGGATGGAAGGAATGAGCACCAGGCTCAGGTTAACCAAAACCAAGCTGATAGAAATGAGCATCAGGCTCATGTGAATCAAGAAAACCAACACCAGAACAGGCATCACCAACGTCAAGGTGTTGCTTAGAATCAAGCCCACCCTAACCCACCCATACGTCAAGCTCACCATGAAGTGAGGATTCAGATCTTTGTTAGGGCCAATGACAGGGCCAATGATCATCAGAGTAGACATGGTATCCAAGCTCCAGCTGTGGAAAACAACAAATTTGAGGTTAAAGCATCTCTTCTCAACATGGTGCAAAACTCAAAGTTTCATAGGTTACCAATGGAGGATCCCTTGGACCATCTAGACAACTTTGACAGTATCTGCAACCTCACAAGATAAATGGTGTATCTGAAGATGGTTTCAAGCTGATACTCTTTCCCTTCAGTCTAAGACATAAAGCAAGACAGTGGGAGAAGAATATTCTTCAGGTTTCTATACAGACTTGGGAACAATGCAAGGAAGCTTTCTTGTCCAAGTTCTTTTCAACCTCCAGGACAGCAGAGCTTAGGAACCAGATCTCATCATTTACCCAACACCACAATGAAACTTTTGGTGAAGCTTTGGAAAGATTCAGAAGCTACACTATACAATGCCCTCACCATGAGTTTTCTGAAGCATCATTGCTAAGCACTCTTTATAGAGGTGCCCTACCAAAGAAACCAGCTTGATACTTCCTCCGATGGGAACTTCTTAGCCAAGGAGATCAATGCTGTCATGGAGCTAGTTGAGAATTTGGAATTGAACAATGATACTTATGGTGAGGCATATGATATGTATAATAAAGGAGAGGGCTGTAGTGAGGAGCATAGAATGAGAAAGGATATCAAACTGCAAAGCAAGCTAGACAAGGTCTTAGTTGCTACTCAAAACCCACTTCATTTTGTTAGGGAATTTGATAGGCAAGCTCAATGTTTCGAAAATGTGAATGAAGAAGGTTTGACTCAAAAAGAGCTCCACTATATTGGGAACCAAAACAAGTTCAACAGGTTCAAAAATTACAATCCAAATGTAGCTAACCCTGGAGACCAAGTGTATCCTTCTCAGCAAGTTCAGACTCAAGGTTTTGCTCCAAAGAATCAGTTCCAAGGAAATTACTAAGGGCAAAAAGCTTTTTAACAACCAACAGTTTAGAACCAAGGAAATAGCTTCCCAAATCAAGTCAGTTTCCAGCAACAGAAGTCCTATCCTCCAGGATTTGGACAGCCACAGGTTCAATAGGGTAGTTCTCAACAACAAGGTTAAGACATCAATTAGGTTCTACAACAGCTTCTCCAAGCACAACAACAACTCAATTCTCGCGCAAGTGACCTCAGTTCCAAGATAGAGATACTAGAAACCAAAATTAAGACTCTTTAGGAAAACAAAGGCATCTCCACTTCTGAATCTCAAAGTTCTCTGCCAGGCAAAGTTGTTTCAAAGCCCAAAGAGTATTGCAATGCCATATACTCAAATGATGAGAATTCTGCTGCTGTTCAGGAACTTGAATACCTTCTTTATGGCAAAGTCTTTAATGAGTTAAACCCCAACACTGAAGATGAGGACGCCATTATAGAAGACCATGGGAACCTGTTCTATGATCTCAATGAGGACATTGAGACAGAAGGTGGGGAGGCAGCCTGTTTTGTTCAGAAAAGGGATGATTCTGAGTCTATTAAAGCAAAAGGACAGCAAGTAGATCACGCAAAGCCAAAAGATAGAGTCTCTAGCCTTGATTCATCAATGGTGAAGCCTAAATCCCTCCCAAAGCTAAGAAATCCAGGGAAATTCTCCATCACATGCTCTCTTGGCAAATTCGAGGTTGAGAATGCTTTGTGTGATTTTGGATCATGTGTTAGTGTGATGTCGGTGGTGATACTAGGGATCAAGACTTTAAAGAACCACCCTACTTCAATTACATTTGGAGAATCCCAATCTAAAACCAAAATAAACCATTTGGGATCCTTGAAGACTATCCACTAAGGGTTGGATAATGCATAATCTCCACTGGTTTTGTAGACATGAAGATGAAGAAAACCAAAGAGCTCAATCTATTGCTTGGAACTCCATTTCTCAACACCACAGAAGCAAGAATTGACTTTGATACCCTAAGAGTGGTGCTCACAAATTTGGATAAAGAAGTCTCTTACCTTGTTAAGCCCCCATTGATATGTTCATAATTTGCATCATTTAGGTTGTATATTTCATTCCAAATCATATCTTATTTCATACATTTTAGGTCTTTAGGGGTTGTTTTAGGACTTAGGAGTTGCATTAGGTCCCAATGAGTCTTTGCATGTTTGGAGTGTTTATCAGGTGCATTTGGAGCCGTTTGGAGTTAAAAAGATGAATCCAGGAAGAGAAATGGTGAACAAGGCTTGAAAGATGGTGAAAATGAGTTTTGGAGGTTCTCGGCCATTCTCGCGTACCGCAGGAAGGTTTTTCTCGGCCATTCGCATGTACCGCGGGTGGATTCCTCGGCCAAAACGCGTACCGGCTAGTTGAGTTTCTTGGCCAAAATTTCCAGGTGCAAACACATTTCCGAAATCGCCTGTCCGGGGAACCTTCCGGTCCGATTCAGCTGTCGGGTGCTTCATCAAAGTGCTCAAATGTTTTGAAAAGAAAGAAAAAAAGAGGCTAGAGGTTGCAAAAGAAAAAGAGCTGTGTAAAGTTGGAACTCCAAGACTTGAGAGTGTAAGTGAAAAGTAAGTCCCCTAGTGAGAGGAAAATAAGTGTGAAAAGTGAGGTTCTTGAGAAAGTGAGCAAGTGAGAAAGCTTTGAGTAGAGGGTGGGGTATGATGAGTCTTTGCCCTTGTATGCATAGGTTGCTTTTTACCTTTAGCATTCTGCCAAAGTTTGATCATTCATAGAGAGATCCCTTTGCTGCATTAAACCCGCTTGAACACTAATGAGATCATTTTAATCTCATAGCCTCTCCCTTAGCCAAGCCAGCTTGTTTTAACATTGCATCATTAGATTCACCTGATAAAAGATTAATGAATGTGAAAGAGTTGAGAGAGAGAGAAGAACTTGTGGAGATTCCTTGTTGAGTTGATATATATATCTGAGTATGACTTTGCATTGCATAATTGAGCATGAACTTGAATTCTAATTGTGATCACTTCTCTCATTAAGGAATATGAACTCCCAATGCATCCAACCTCTTTCTCTCATTTGCTATTTTTGCTTGAGGACAAGCAAAGGACAAGTGTGGGGGAGTTGATATGTTCATAATTTGCATCATTTAGGTTGTATATTTCATTCCAAATCATATCTTATTTCATGCATTTTAGGTCTTTAGGGGTTGTTTTAGGACTTAGGAGTTGCATTAGGTTATGAGTCTTTGCATGTTTGGAGTGTTTATCAGGTGCATTTGGAGCCATTTGGAGTTAAAAAGATGAATCCAGGAAGAGAAATGGTGATCAAGGCTTGAAAGATGGTGAAAATGAGTTTTGGAGGTTCTCGGCCATTCTCGCGCACCGCAGAAAGGTTTTTCTAGGCCATTCGCATGTACCGCGGGTGGATTCCTCGGCCAAAACGCGTACCGGCTAGTTGAGTTTCTCGGCCAAAATTTCTGGGTGCAAGCATATTTCCGAAATCGCCTATCCGGGGAACCTTCCGGTCCGATTCAGCTGTCTGGTGCTTCATCAAAGTTGGAGAAGGTTGGATCATGGTTCAAGAGCAATTGGAGTCATAGGATTTGGAGGCGTGAGCAGAGAGTTAAGCTCGTCGGAAGAAACTCCTGTTTTGCTGCCGTTTTGGACCGACCCGATGAGCTCCGAAGAATGCGAAGGACGGTGCACTTATAGACCGATTCAGTTTACAGGGCCTTCATCAGAATCCGAGATATTTGAGTCTTTTTTCTAGAACGTTTGAGATCATTCAATTCGGAGCTAGGAGCAAGAAGATAACGTTTCCGGAATGGACACACGTCTAGAAGCCTCTTTCTGATCATGTCAATGCATTGCGAAGATGAGCCCTCCAGGAAACCATCCACTTCCCAAGAGACCGAAGGTTCCTTCACCAAAGTTGAAGATATATGAGCCTTCTGTCCTCTGAAGCCGGAATCACACAATTCGGACCCATATCCTGGAAGTTACGCCTCCCTGAATGCGAAGTGGTTCAAGCTGCCCTGAATGCTGCGAGATAGTCTTGCGACTTGGTTAACTCGCAAAGCCTGAAGATGAATGCCTGGAAGTTGAGCTGCGAGTTGAGAAGTGCGGGTAAGCTATCACTGGATGAGGTCTGAGGCTCCCGAGCAAGAAAAATGCTAAGTCCACAATCGTGCGGCTTAGGCATGCGAGTTGGCCGCGCTTGGAACTAAACCGCACAATGACTCGCAATCTACACCGACTTGAGCCTGCGACCTGGGAGTAATGGAGACCAACCCGCACACATCCCTGAAGACCTTTGCTACATGGTCGTGCGAGTTAAAGATCAGAGAAGACTTAGCCGCAGCAAGACTCGCAATTCACATCTGGATGGGCATTCGGCTGAGTTTACAAGGTTTTATCTCGTTCAAAGCTCCTCTCCTTGGTTGTGCGACTTGGGCATGCGGCTTGGAACTAAAGGATGACCAAGTCGCACATGTACTTTTCCCAAATTTCGCCTTGGTCATGCGAGTTGAAGAAGAAGAAGATTAAGCCACACAAAGACTCACAAAACACATCTACTTGGGCGTGCGGCTAAGACCAAGCGATTTAAGTCTCACAAGACAGTTTCTTCACCTGTGCGACTTGGGCATGTGACCTGGGAGACACTGGACCAACTCGCATATTCTCCACTTTATTCACTAAAGCCGGGTCAGGACCCGGTTTGTTCCGGGCTGACCCGGTTCGTTTTTAGAGACATATAAATAGTTTTTAGGGTTTTTTTCCCAAGGACTTATGCTTGATTCCCTTTGTCTCTTGCCTCTTTTGTGAAAGACTCAACTTAAGAAGAGAAATATCGATTTTTAAGTGCTTAATCAAGAGAGTTTGAGAGATCTTTGTGTTTAAAGCTGCAAATCCATTATTATCCATCTTCCCCATATCTATTTCTCTTCATTAATCATGCCAATCTTCTCAACTTGCAAAGGTTTAAGAGAGATTAGTATGATTAGTGAGTAGTCACCTTAATGAGGTTCTAGATGTGTAGGTTAGGGTGCTAAAGTGTTAGATTATGAGTGCTTAGGGCTAGATTCATTGATTCATCTCTCTAAACAGCTGTTCTCTAGGCTAGATCCTTGCATATCACTTGAGATCTAGATTCTGGGAATTTCATGCACCAAAAGTGTTTGATGAAATTCTTGAAAGAGCTGTATTAGAGGTTTAAGCATTTGCTGCATGATGATGTATTGTTGATTGCTTTAATGATCATTTAGAACTGTTTATTAATGCATATTGATTCATGTTTCACAAATGATGATTTGGTTTGAAAATGGATTAGTGTAGGGGTTAATACCATCATGAGAGGATTAATCTAGATTAGAGTTCCTAATCATTTGAATCATGTCTCATCATTGGCATTAGCATTCCTAGTTTAGCACCAAAGCACCCTAGCCAACTATCATGTCTAGAATCTCATGCCTCCATCATATCATATTCATATCATTGGTCATTGTTTAGTTCTTCTTTAGTCATTAACCCTGTT